CTAGCTATTAGTGGCTGACTGTATTAACAAAACACAAAAAATTTCTTCCACTTCTGTGTTGTCCTGTAATTGACAGCATCAGGTCAGGTCACAAGCCTAGGAGCAGGAATGCAAAAGTAGACTCCCTTAAAGGAAAGCCAAACTGCAGAAAGAAGCAAGGCTTCAGAAAGAAATTCCAACTCAAGGCCAGGTGTGGTGACTCACACCTGTAATCTCAGCACTTTGGGAGGTAGTGGTGGGCAGATCATGAGGTCAGGCCTGACCGTAGGCTGGCCTTGACTGGCTGTGACCAACAATGAGATTCTTGGACTTCCGAATCTAGGACTTAGACGATTGTCAGTCTCTACTTCCTGTCTCCTGGAATGTTCCTTAGAACCTTGCCACCACACTTTAAGGAAATCCAAGCAGCCAGGTAGAGAAAGGCCCATATACAGGAGAACTGAAGGTCTTTATCCCTAGCTGAACTCTCAGCCAGCGGCTAGCCATATGAATGTGGCCACTCTGAACATTGCAGCCATGCCCACACCTCAGCTAACATCAAGTAAAGCAGAAAAACCATCAGACTTGAGGGGCAAAATTAATTGGTTTTTTAAGATGCTAAGTTTTGAGATCATTTGCTAAACAGCAAATATTTACCCTTTATACTGTTTCACTTACCAGCTCTACAAATAAAACTTATATACATTCTAAAATTATTTCATCCCAGTTTCAAGCTACCCTACTCGATTCTGGGATTAGCTGGATAAGAATACAGTTACCCAAGGCCGGGCGCGGTGGCTCAAGCCTGTAATCCCAGCACTTTGGGAGGCCGAGGCGGGTGGATCACGAGGTCGAGAGATCGAGACCATGCTGGTCAACAAGGTGAAACCCCGTCTCTACTAAAAATACAAAAAGTTAGCTGGGCATGGTGGTGCGTGCCTGTAATCCCAGCTACTTAGGAGGCTGAGGCAGGAGAATTGCCTGAGCCCAGGAGGCGGAGGTTGCGGTGAGCCGAGATCGCGCCATTGCACTCCAGCCTGGGTAACAAGAGCGAAACTCCGTCTCAAAAAAAAAAAAAAAGAATACAGTTACCCTGCTTTTAACAAGAAATGTGGCTAGTCAAGGTGGCTCACGCCTGTAATCCAAACACTGGGAAGCCAAGGCAGGACCTTGAGCCCAGGAGTTCAAAACTGCCCCTGTCAACAAAGGGAGACCCTCGTCTCTATAAAAAGAAAAAAAAAAATTAGCCAGCATAGTGGTGTGTGCCTGTAGCCACTTGAGAACCTGAGGCAGGAGGATCACGTGAGCGTGGGAGTCTGAGGCTGGAGAGAGCTATGACTGCACTCTAGCCTAGGCAACACAGCAAGACCCAGTCTTAAAGGTAAAAATAACAATAAAGTTCAAATTCCTCCTCAGCTTGTCCTTTCATCCCCTATATTGAGAGAGAGAGAAAGAAAGAGAGCGAGCGAGAGCGCCAGAGAGAGAGAGAGAGAAAGAGTGAGAGAGAGTGTGTGTGTGTGTGTGTGTGTGTGTTTTGGGGCCTATATTCCCACAATCATTTTCATTTCTCTTCCTAGGTTTCCATTTATACTTTTGTTAACCAAAGAAGTATTAGGAAAGGTCCTTGAGGACCTGCTAAAGTTAAATGAGAGACATTAGCACATAAGTTATTTAATGTAAACGGTTGCTTTCAATATCATTTATTTGCTTTTAAAAGCTAAACATTCTGCTTAAACTATTTTTTTTACAAGCAAAACAGTAAGCTTTAAGTCTCGATCATGTGTGATTTATGGTTATCTCTGAATCAACAGTCTCATTAATAGGATTTTATTGTAAAATTCCTTATCAAAGCATGTTAACAGCAATGAGCAAATCTGTGAGAGTATCCATTTCATTTTGGCATTTTAAACCAATTTTATATTTGTTTAAACTACGGAAATTATGGCATCTGTATAAAAGTTGTCATTAGTGATTCACAATTGAGGGAGAGGTTAAGACCAGAACAAAGCCAAATACTAACAAAAATGTCAGTTAGATTAAAAGAATAGTTATTCCATGTGTACTGTGCATTAATTATTTGATGCTAGCTCAAGTATCTTCCTTTCCTTCCTTTTCTTTTTTTTTTTTTTTTTTTTTTTTTGAGACGGAGTTTCGCTTGTCTCCCAGGCAAGAGTGCAATGGGGCAACCTAGAATCACTGCAACCTGTGCCTCCCAGGTTCAAGCAATTCCCCTGCCTCAGCCTCCCAAGTAGCTGGAATTACAGGTGCCTGCCACCACACCCTGCTAATTTCTGTATTTTTAGTAGAGACTGGGTTTTGCCATGTTGGCCAGGCTGGTCTCAAACTCCCGACCTCAGGTAATCCACCCGCCCCGGCCTCCCAACGTACTAGGATTACAGGCGTGAGCTACCATGCTCAACCATCTTCCTTTCTTAAAATTGACTCTGAATAAACAGACATACTCTAACAGGGTAAATGGCACCAAAGGAAGTTGTGACTTACTTAGATTCCTAAGACTGTTACTGCACTGAAAGAGAATACCCAATCTCAAACTCTTCATTCTCTGTTTCTTTTATTAAGGTGTCATTCTGGTGACCCTCTTCGAGTTGACCTTTTGTAAAACAGCAGCCAAAACAGCAGGCAAGGTCAATAACGAAAGTACTAAAATTAAAGAAAAAATTGGCTTCTCCCTATGGAAACTGATTCAAGATTTAATAATGCATGGTGCCCTAAAAGCTGCAACTGTTGCACAGTCATCTCCAAATCTACTTTAACTCAACTAGGAGGCCATTATCAAAACATAACTCACTGGTACAAAGCAGAGATTAAGCAGCTGAGAATGTTCCTAGGCTGAAGTCTGAGAGTAAAAAGGATGATCTCATAATGTCTTTTTATGATTTGTAAATCACATTATTCAATAAATCTGATGCAAGTGTCAGGATTAGGATTAAGAGTCAACCCTCATCTGAGCGCAATGGCTCACACCTGTAGTCCCAGCACTTTGGGAGGCCAAGGCGGGCAGGCCACCAGGATTGAGACCATCCTAATCAACATGGTGAAACCCAGTCTCTACTAAAAATACAAAAATTAGTTGGGCGTGGTGGTCCACACCTGTAGTCTCAGCTACTCGGGAGGCTGAGGCAGAAGAATCGCTTGAACCCAGGAAGCAGAGGTTGCAGTGAGCCAAGATCATGCCACTGCACTCCAGCTTGGGTGACAGATCAAGACTAGGTCTCAAAAAAAAAAAAAAAAAAAATCATCCCTCTGAGTAGAAAAACAAAAATAAGCAGTACCAGTTTTCTGACTTCAGTCTAGTAACTTTCACTTACTTCTAAAGTCCAGTAAAATTTCAAGGTCTCTTCTTTATATTTAGAATTTTAACAGTGGGCAGAAATCCAAGAACCTTCTTCAGGGTCAATGAAATTTTGTTAATGATACCCTTGAACTTTAATTAGGTGTTTTTGAAAACACTAATACAAAATAAAGTTTTAGTAAATTTGACTAGTTTCTGAAAAAGCATTCCCTCTAAATGGGGCACTTTAAAAGCCTAAAATACAATTAAGTTAGTATCCATTTTTATTTGGATTTGTTATGGTATTTTAGGCAAAGATACAAAATAACTATTTTTTAAGCAAAGGAGTAAGATTTGGAGTGACAAGTCACAATAACTTCTGAAATTACAAGACTTGACTGCAAATAATATCAATGTCCCTAAGGCTACCTGTTAAAGTCTATGCATTCCATCATTCTTTAGTTGTAACCACAAAGCCTGGTTTTACACCTAGGATATACAAGAAGCATCAGATTAAAAGCATCAAATATCAGACTATACAAGTTTGCCATAGATAAGCATAGCAAAAAGAAAAGCATGATACAAAGTTAAAGAGGTTCCAAGGGGTTTAAACACACCCACAAAATCCAATTTTTGCCCACACTGTGCTTCAACCTAAAACTGATGGGTAATCACAAATCCTGACTTATCCCTGACTTCTTCCCTACCTCCACCCTTTTTATCTCCTGAATTTCTCGACTGATATCATCCCTTCTTATGGGTCTTTGCAACTCTCCACGGCCTTTCCTTCCCCAGAAAATGATACAAAGCACCTGGTCTCCACATTTTACGGTCTCACAATTTAGCTTCAAATTTTGTTTTGCTTACCCCGTTAGACATTCATTTTGCCCCCAATCTCCGGTACCCCTGTTTCCTTCTACTTTTCATCACCTTGTCCTTCCTATAGTATTTATTTTATCCTTTAAAAGTAGACTATGTATCCCTCTCCCAGACATTTGTAATTCTAGTTCACTGTAAACATCCTCTTCCCCTCCCAGGGACTGTCATTATAGCCCTAGGTCTTCAATCCCAGTCGTTATCTTCTTTAGTGAGGCCTCTTCCCTTCCAGAGTTTGTCAACATTAGTTTGGCCAAGCTGGGATGCCACCTTCAAGGCAAAGGCTAATCCTCCCTCCTCATTCTACAAAACTCTAAGCCTGTCACCAGCCCTAGCGTTCCCTCCTCCACCCTTAAATCCATCTGCATCCAGTCCTGCCCGTTCCCCTCTACCCACAATATCTGTCTGCCCTCTATCCCGCGCTCCCCTTCCCCAGTCCTGACTGCACCTCCTCCCTGGGCCTTACCCGTACCCTGACACAGGGAAGGCCCAGCCAGCGGCCTCACGGCTCCTCTCCACAGAGCTCCCTCCGCTCTTCTGTAACTGTCCCCACGCCCCTTTCCCTCCAGGGCCCCGCGCGCCGCCAGGAGCCCCCTCCTCGATTAAGCTCCCGCTGTCACTTGGCCTCTCATCCACAAGATGGCGGAGCTGCTGCCCCCACCCCTGGGTCCGCTCCGCGACCCCCAGCCTCCTTTCCGGAGCTCCCATCCCGTCCCTCCAGCCGCGCTGCCGCCAGCCTCGGCTCAGGGTCTCGCTGCCAGGTCCGGCAGTGGGCTGGCGGCCCAGGCCCGAGCTCAACAACGCCGCCAACGCCACCGCCTCCGCCGTTCCCCGGCCTGCACCGTCTCCTCACCATAAACTTGAGTGCTTTCTCTTGCAGCACCGCCTCGGCTGGGTCCATAATCGCCGAGGCCACTGGGTCCGCTCTCCGCCGGGGCCGCCCCTTTGGTGCCAGGCCTCAGCCAACGCAGCGCCCGGATCCCGCCTCCTCTTCCTTCCCCCCGCCCTCTCTTACCTCTCAGGCACAGGCTGATGGGGCCAAGAAGAATCGGCTTCTCTGTGGGCAGGAGAAAGCCCACTGGCTCACGGGATTAGTAGTTCTAAACCTTCCCGAAGCTAAAACTGAGGCGACGCCGTGAACCGCAACTCCCACAGTTCACTGCGGCAGGGTTTCGGTTGCCGGCGAGTCACATTTAGATAACTTGCCCTCAAGCAGAGGAAATCGGTTGATGGGAATTGTAGTTTACAGCCTCTAAGGATGAGAAACGGGAGGGGGCATGGGTGTCTCCGTGGTTACCGAGGGACGCCAGTAGCGGTTTGCCGGGCATTTGACATCAAGATGGCGACCAACGCCTCACCTGTAGCCCAAATACTAAGAAAAACTGTGAGAAGAATCAGGGGTCCTAGAGCCTGCCTAACTGTGGTTTTAGAGAGCTGAACGTCCCCAAATTTCATATATCTGGCGTCTGTGGGAGGTTTGCGACCCAGAGGAGCTGGGCCAATGGGCAGCTGGTAGCAGCTCAAACACCAATGCAGCACTTCAAGGTCCTCCTAAGCTAACGCCACCCACACGTTTCCCGAGGAATCTTTTCTCTCCCACAGCAAGTCAGGGCCGAATAGAACTCGGCTCAGGAAATTCTTGGCGTTTAGAGCTCAAGAAGCACATACCTTGCTATTGCTAACCCTGGGATGTAAGCCTTGCACTAAGGGTCAAACAGGTTCTTACAAAAGTCCTTCAACAGTGGAATATAATGGCCTCCAGCAAATAAAGCATATAGGTATTTTCTTTGGCCTTAAAAGGTACAATATGAGTTTATTTTGGAAATTGGATCTACCTTAGGAGGAGAAAACTCTAGGGTTTGGTTGAAAGTGATTTAGCGCCGGGCACAGTGGCTCACGCCTGTAATCCCAGCACTTTGGGAGGCCGAGGGGGGTGGATCACCTGAGGTCAGGAGTTTGACACCAGCCTGGCCAACTTGGAGAAATGCCAGTCTCTACTAAAAATACAAAAATTAGCCGGACTTGGTGGCACGCTCCTGTAATCCAGGCTACTCAGGAGGCTGAGGCATGAGAATTGCTTGAACCTGGGAGGTGGAAGTTGCTGTGTGCCAAGATCATGCCACTGCACTCCAGCCTGGCGACAGAGCAAGACTCCACCTCAAAAAAAAAAAAAAAAAAAAAAAAAAAAAGATGGGGTGGGATGATGGTGCAGCCACAGGAAAAGAGTATTCCAGGCAAAGGTGACTACATTTTTGGTGATTCATTCTGGGAACCAAAACAAAATCAGTGGGACTTTAGAGGAAGAATGGCCCTAGATGAGACTGCAGAAAAGTACAGGGCTTTATAGGCAAGGCATTATTTAGCTGGCATAAACTGGTTAGATGAATCAGCTGACATGCTTTCTAACTAGCATCAGGGCCTGTACCTTAGCAGCTATAAAATATCTTGACTTTCACTCCAGCATATAGGCCAAGTTAAAGCATTTGGACTTTGTCCTGAGAGCTGTGAGAAATTAACTGAACAATTTTTTAAATAGATTTGCATTTTCAGAAAATCAGAGTCCAGGGTGGAGGAGAGTTTACAATGGATCACAGCTGGAAGCTTGGGGAAAGGATTATGAAGTTGCTGAAATCTTCCTTCCTGGGAGAGACGATGGCAGCCCGAATGAGGTGGTGAGAACAGAAAGAAGTAGATGGATTCCAGAGATACTAATGAGGTAGAATCAGTGGAGTATGCTGATTGATTAGATAGATGTTCATGGATGATGTCAAAAGGATGTGTCAAAAATAACTTCTATTCACCTGGCTCAGGTAATGAATGAGGGATGCCTTTTTTATTTTTTTTTTAATTTTTTTTTATTTTTTTATTGATAGAGAAATTTTTATTGATGTAATTTTATCATATTCTAAGTGAAAAAGGAATTATTTTGATAAATATGACTAATTCTTTTTTTTTTTTTTTTTTAAAGAAGAGGAAGAAAGAGAAAGAGGAAGAGGGAGAGAGGATGGGGGTATTGCTTTATTGCCCAGGCTAGAATGCAGTCTAAATATGGGTATGCCTATAATTGTCCTTAATAATGGAGACATGAAAGAAAATGAGGGAAGAGAATAACAAACAAGGAGCCAACCAAGATTTCATTTAAACTTCTAAATTAATATGATGTGGTACTGATAAGAGTGTATATTTTGTATATTTAAAGTGGAGAGTTCTATAAATGTTAATTACATTTACTTGTTCCAGATCTGAGTTCAAGACCTGAATATCGTTGTTAATTTTCTGTCTCATTGATCTGTCTAATATTAATGTTGAAGTCTCCCACTATTATTATGTGGGAGTCTAAGTCTCTTTATAAGTCCTGTATGTCTAGGTATTCCTGTATTGGGTGCGTATATATTTAGGATCTTTAGCTCTTCTTGTTGTTGCATTGATCCTTTTATCATTATATAATGTCCTTCTTTGCTTCTTTTGATCTTTGTTGCTTAATTGTAACTTCTGCTTTTTATTTATTTATTTTAGCTCTCTGTTTGGTTGGTAAATCTTTCTCCATCCCTTGTTTAGAGTCTTTGTGTATCCTTGAATGTGAGATGGATCTGGATGCAGCATACTGATGGGTTTTAGTTTTTTATTCAAATTGCCTGTCTTTGGATTGGGGGATTTAGTCAATTTAAATTTAGAATTAATAATAATATATGTGAGTTTAATACTGTCATTAGCTGGCTATTTTGTCCATTAGTTGATGTAAATTCTTCATTATATTGATGCTCTTTTTGATAATTCTTTTAGAAAGGCTGATACTGTTTGTTCCTTTCATATGTGTAGTGGTTCTTTCAGAAGCTCTTGCAAAGCAGGCCTGGTGGTGATGAAATCTCTGAGTGCTTGCTTATTCACAAAAAACTTTATTTTTCCTTCACATGTGAAGCTTAGCTTGGCTGGATGTGAAATTCTGGGTTGAAAGTTCTTTTCTTTAAGGATGTTGAATATTGGCCCCCACTCTCTTCTGGCTTGTAGGGTTTCTGCTGAGAGATCTGCTGTAAGTCTGATAGGCTTCCCTTTGTGGGTAACCTGACCTTTCTCTCTGGCTGCCCTTAGTATTTTCTCCTTCATTTCAACCCTGGTGAATCTGACGATTATGTGCCTTGGAGTTGCTCTTCTTGAGGAATATCTCTGTGGTGTTCTCTGTATTACCTGGAGTTGAATATTATCCTGCCTTACTAGGCTGGGAAAATTTTCCTGAATAATGTCCTGAAGCGTATTTTCCAGCTTGGATTCATTCTCTTCGTCACATTCAGGTACACCTATCAAGCGTAGATTAGGTCTTTTCACATAGTCCCATATTTCTTGGAGACTTTGCTCGTTCCTTTTTATCCTTTTTTCTCTCGTCTTGTCTTCTTGTTTTATTTCATTAAGTTGATCTTCGACCTCTGATATCCTTTCTTCTGCTTGATCAATTCGGCTGTTAAAACTTGTGCATACTTCACGTAGTTCTCGTATTGTGTTTTTCAGCTCCATCAATTCACTTATTTTCCTCTCTAAATTTTGTATTCTTGTTGACATTTCGTCAAACCTTTTTTCAAAGTTCTTCGTTTCTTTAGATTGTGTTATAACAAGTTCTTTTAATTCACAGAAGTTTCTTATTATCCACGTTTTGAAGCCTGCTTCTGTAATTGGAACCCACTCGTTCTCCATCAAGCCTTGTTTCGTTGCTGATGAGGAACTGGGATCCCCTGCTGAGGAAGAGGCGTTCTGATCTTGGGTATTCTCAGCCTTTTTTGACCGTTTTCTTCCCTTCGTTGTAGATCCATCCATCTGTGGTCTTTGAATTCACCGTCTTTGTAATTGGGTTTTTGAGTGGACGTCCAACTTACTGATTCTCAGCGCCGAAATCCGAGCAACCCACTGCACCGACTAAATCAGCGGCGTTAAGATTGATGGTGCTTTTCCGACTCTGCACCGAGAACCGACGCTCCGAGGCGCCGGCAAAACCGCCTCGCCGGTCACAAGAGTCGCACTGGCGACCCGTGGGGCTCCTCCGCTGGGAATCTCCTGGTGCGTGAGCAACAAGAATTCATGTGAAGGTGTGGCGTCCTCTCCTTCTTTGCGCTTTCAGTGGGAGCTACAATCCCGAGCTGCTAGTGATCAGCCATCTTGGATCTCTCTGATGCCTTTTTTATTTTTGAGACAGAAAGCACAGTACAAGGACCAAGCAGGAGGAGGATAATCAGTTCTTTTTTTGGACATATTGCTTCAAGGTACCTGTGAGATTTTTACATGGATTCAGATGCTGCGGAGACCATTGGATATTTAAAACTGAAGTTGGAAAGGTATGGGCTGCAAATACGTAGTAAATGAAACCCAACTCCCACTTCTCCCACCACAAAGAATGAAATCGCCCAGGGGACCGGGCACAGTGGCTCACGCCTATAATTCCAACACTTTGGGAGACCAAGACAGGTGGATTACCTGAGGTCAGGAGTTCGAGATCAGCCTGGCCAACACAGTGAAACCTCGTCTGCACTAAAAATACAAAAAAATATTAGCCAGGCATGGTGGTGCACGCCTGTAGTTCCAGCTACTCGGGAGGCTGAGGCAGGAGAATTGCTTGAACCCAGGAGGTGGAGGTTGCCGTGAGCCAAGATCAGGCCACTGCACTCCAGCCTGGGTGGCGGATTGAGACCCTGTCTCAACAACAACAAAAAGTCACCCAGGGAAAGCATAAACAGCAGAAAGAGCAACAAGTCTGAAATAGGGTCCTGAAGAACTGTAGGATTTACAGGATGAGCACAGGAAGAGGAGCCTGCAAAGGAACCCAAGAAGTGACCAGAGGGGCAGGAGGAAAATCTGGTGAGTGAGGATCTTGAGAGGGTTGGGGGGTGCAGATGCCATACTGCAGCATGGTGTTGTTTGTTTGTTTGTTTGAGATGGAGTTTCACTCTGTCCCCCAGGCTAGAGTGTAGTGGTGCAATCTCTGCTCACTGCAACCTCCACCTCCTAGGTTCAAG